GCAGAGTAGAGGTACTGTAGTTTGTTCTCCTCTGCTGCCTTCTGCCCTTCTCCTCACAACTGCAAGTCATCCGCCGTGCATCGCTCTCTGCCGGAGTCTCTGCACAGCTGCGCAAGCTGTAATGCGTGGCTGGATTTGCAGCTTGGACTTAACTCGCATGTTCCCACGCCAGCTGGAGGGGCCTGCTGGGGTTTTTTGCTGATGCATCAGAAATATATTTTTAGGACGGTTTCTCTATAATTATCACATTATAGTTCCTTCTGGATCACTCTGAGGATAGTAAACAATTGCTGTACTTGCAAGAGGTCAAGCATACAGAAAGACGTTCCCTGCCTGTGAGGTCTGCTGTTGCATCTTAACTCGCAGTTTCCCCCCACCCCGAAAAAGGGAGCCCACTGGGAGGGACATGCAGCCATTGCTCAGGCTGGTGATCCAGGTCTTGTAATTCCCACCTCCTGCCTCAAGCCCATCCTCTGAACTGTATCGATGGATGTCCGAAGGGACATCTATCGCCTTGCGTCCTTCTCCGGAGCAAGACGAGATCTGCCCTGCACAGTTCTGCCAGCAAAGCTTTGGGTGTCTGTAAAGCGCCTATGCTGCTAAGTGGAGCAAGGCTTCTGCCCATGTCCCCCAACCTCCAGAAGGCATCGGTAGTCCCTTCTGTGCCTACTGCAGGCTGTCACTGTCCCTTCAGCAGCTGCTGCCTTTCCAGGGTGCCCTTTAGGCTCTGCCAGCACAGCTGTTGAGCGGAGACCTGTGGAGCTGCCAGGAGCACCTGGCTGTGCACATGCTTTGCAGAGCTGGTGGTGATGTCTGCTCACTGCCAACCAGCAGGTGAAGGCCAACAAGGCTGACTTCACACTTTCTCTGGATGCTGTGGTTCATATGCTGTGCTGCGTAGCACTTAGGAAGCCCAATCAACGATCATCACCATTTGATGCTGGATGGACAAATAAAAAAGGCTGGGTTTGCCCCAGGGAGCTGGGCCTCTGACGGGATCCAAGAGGTGGGCGCTACAGATGAATTGGTTTGAGGGCTGGGAAGAGTCAGAACCAAAATAGAGTTGTTTGATTTTTCAAAAACAGCTCTCTGCTCGCCACGTGCAAAGACTGCCCGTGGCAGCAAGACGCAGCCAGACGAAGGGGGGAGGAATCCCTGTCTATTTTTTAATGCTGGGGCAGTAGTAAAGATGAAGAAAATCAACTGTGGCATGAAGCTGTGTCTGTGGCCATAGCCAGTGGCTCACGTGAATGCTGCCCCTGCCATGTGACAGGCATATAGCACTTTCTGCAAGTGTGAGCCAAGGCGAGGCAGGTCACAGGCTCTGGAGAGCTGCAGTGGTACCTATGGGGCATGGCAGACAGCAGGCTGCTAGGCACGGTGGTTAAAAAATGTCCAAGAATAGCTTGATCCTCATGAAAATGACACTGGGAAAATTAAATATTGCCTTTCCCAAATCCAGCTGGCAGGTCAGACCACTGAATGTTATGCTACCAATATAGGTAATAAAGCCAAGCCCTGTAAATGTGAATAATTAACGGATGGACTAATTAGGCATCTAATTATTGGAGGTGTGACCATTACCCATGTCAAAGAAAGGAAACTGTGTTAAACAGGATTTGGCTTTGCAAACAGGAGAGACTGAACACTAGTCCCAAAAGGAAGCCGGAGCAGGCCGTGGAAGCACTGAAGTGCCCCTTATTAAAATGCAGACCAAGGCATGAAGATACAGTCCCAAGGTGAATGAGGACTTCAAGGTCAAGGTTCAGTTTAGTGCCTGTGGCCATCCTGGTCTGGTTTCAAGTGAGAAGAGGAGGGAGGGCTTCAACACCAAAAGCCAGACCCCTCAGGGGCAGTGCTCTTACATGTTAATTCACACAGGCCTCTCAAAAGCGAATGCACAGTTCTGCACAGAGGCAGCCATATATAGCACACAATAAAGTGTATTGGCTCGACAAAACCCAGGCTTGTGTTTCTGAGACCCGCATATTTCCACCTGTTGAGTCACGACCCGTGTACAGCCAGACAGACTTAGCGCGCTCCAGTAACAAGAGCTGCAGATGCTCGCACATAGGACGGGAAGGTGATAGAAAAAGCATCGTGCTTCAACAGAGTCATTGGTCTGAGGATTTCGGGGTGCTTGGCAAGCGTCATGACTCCACCTGCACAACATGCATGGAGGAGAGGGCAGAGTCCTCCTCCCTTTACTGGTGGGGAAACTGAGGTGCAAAGGGCTGTTAAATCTTCACTGAAGCTGGGGGCCAGCTTCTTGAGGCATGCTCAGGCCTCATCCCTGCTCTATGTTACAGGGTGTTGACAGTGCTGAATCGAACAGGGATGTGAAACCATCATCCCCTGCAAAACCCCCCTGTGGATGCAGCTGTTGGCAGAAAGCAGCTCCTGGGGAGCTGGGGTTGCTCTGGGGCCAGAAATGTCCTTAATGCTAGCAAGGTTGGGTCTCCCCCTGAGAGCTTTAGCTGCCCTAGTGTTGTTGTAGTGTGGACACAACTTTAGTTTGGGGGTTTGAGGAGGCTGAACCCCCCCACCTTCCCCTTTGGTATAAGCAGCCACGCAGGACATCGGTGGCAGGAGCCCAGCATCAAACCCAGGTTTTGCGGCTTCCAGGACGATGCCCCTAACCACAAGGCCACCCCTCCCGCCGACTGCAGTTGTGATGCTGCTTCCACCATCCTTAAGTGCAACCTAGTGATTGAAGGAGCGAATGGCTGTCTCAGCACTGAAACCCCTTGCTGTTTTTGGTGGGTGATGCAGGCTCCATGTTGTTTTAATGTAGTTTCTAGTATTTAATGCATTTTTATTGCTTACTCTAATAACAGTGACTGCGTGGTAAGAGCCAAACTAAACAAGCCGTGCCAACAAGCCAAACATTTCATGTTAACCAGCAGAACGGATGCCTCTCACCCCTACTCAGGCTTTACTTAGACATGGAAATCGCGGCCCTTACCAGGCAGTCAGCAAAAGCAAGACAAACTGCTCCTCTGATGGCTGGCAAACAGACAATGGGTGACAGTTTTGCTGGGCTGGGGTGGCCTCCCCCAGCCTTACTGCCATTGCTTTCAGTGGGAGAGCCCAGACGAGACTCGGCTAAAAAAAGGCAAAAAGCAGGTGCCAGTTCTGGTGTGCAAGCTGGCATGCTCTTCTCATGTGTTAGGGCACAACTGCCTTGTGGCAAACACGTCTAGGCCCCATTAGTGTCAGTGGGAGCTGGGCTTGCTAAGCAGCTCTAGAAAATAGAGCACAAACTAGTGGCTGGTTATGTTCAATAAATCCCCCCCAGCTGAGGCGAGCCAGTGGAGCTCCACCGAGGTAGGTGCACGTATGCCCAGTTTCACCAGCTGGTTCTTGCATACATCTATACTTTTACTCCTCCTTTCCTTTGTAGTCTATAGGCCTCCCAAGTTTCCCTTGCTTGCTTTCCTCTATCCGTCAGGTCTCTCCTCCCCTCAACGCTGCCTGCTATTCTTTCTCTCTCGTTCCATATTTCTACGCCGATTGCCTTCCTGTTCTTTTAGCACCTTATATTCAGCTGTCTCTGCCCATCCTCCCAACGGGAATACACATCTCCTTTCCTTATCCCATCTCTGGGTACCTCCATGGTGATTCCGTCTCTTAATTTTCCCTATCAGCCCCTCTCTCCTTTTCAGTGGCCCATTTCCTGCCCTCACTCCTTCACTGCTGGGCATCCCTACTTTTCATCACCACTGGAACAAGGAGAAGATGAACCAGGACAGGGATGACAGTGCTTGAGAGGTGCCAAGCAGTGTCCCACCTGCGTTGGTCTGGGCTATTTTCGTCTGACTAGCCAAAGCTGGACAAGGACTCTTGTGCCCTACGTGCTATGTCATCTAGCGTTTCCCCTTCAAGAACCCAGCAGTTTACAGTGGCCTGAAGAGTGTAAGTGCTTGAATTAAAATGTCACAGAGTATAAACACATACTTAAAGTTGTTTTTTTCCTTGGGATACACTTCATGTTTTCACTTGTGAAGCATTAAACATCTGTAGCTGCCAGCTATCTGTGCCTTGGCCCACGTAATTATGTGTTTTCTAGTTGCATTCGGTCAGAAGTAATCAGAGAGCTGCAACCTCAGCCAGGACAGAAAATAATCAATCTAACAAGTTGGCGTGTGAGCCGTTACAGAAGATGCAGTCTGCCGCTAACTGGCTCCGCTTCCCCCCTCGTAAGTGGCACGCGTGGCAGGAACAAGCGGACGCTGAGCGCCCGTCATCCTGCGTGACAGATCTACCTGCTCATCCCTGGTGAATTCACCCTACGCAGCTCGAAAGAGTTTTGCACGCCCATCATCACATGGCGTTTTTACACAGCAGATTTGAAACCATGGGACGCCTGCCCAAGGCATCCGTGGGGCAGCACGTGTGTGCAGTTTTAGATTTGGGGGATGATCAGTGATGGGAGAAGCTTGGAGAGCAGCTCACGCCCTGGAGGCAGAAATGCTGGCCTTCTCTAGCTCCCTGCCTCCAGCCTGCAGCCCGGAGCAGTCCAGGACTGCTGCATCATTCAGTCACCCGCTGTGCCTGCATCTATCACACCCTCCCGCTGCCTCCATCTCATCTCTGACTCAGAGTTTCCTGGGCAAAGAAGAAAGCGCATCTTTAAAAGCATCCATCTGCTGAGGCAGCAGGACACGGTCACAGGCAGCGAACAAATGATGCAGCAGTTCTGGGATGCCTGTGGCATTATTGTTCTGGGCTGCAAATGGGAAGCAGCTGTGCCCCGCGGTAAAAGGGACTGGTAGTAAAAGGGATTGATCATCTCTTGCAGGTCTGTAAAGTTGATTAAAACCAGCCACTTTACACCTGGGCGTTACGGTGCTGAATAGCAACCCCGAGGTGGGCAATAACCGTCTGCCCCTTGTTTGTAGGACAGGTGCTTAAGGGACTTGGGTAGGGTGGAAAAGCCCAGAGAGAGAAATGCTGTTAGCTTGGGGGGCACCTTGCTAATTCAAACCATCAGAGCCAGGAAGAAAGTTTATTTACACTGTCTAAGTAGTACGTGTATTAATACATCATACGGCACTCTCCAGCATGCTCAATAGCCTTAAATATGCTCAGGCTGCATACACTGTTAATAGTTTTAGCCTCCAATAAATCAGCTGTTACAGCCTGTCATACATTTTTAAAGCATTTATTGTTAATGGAATTTCACAATGTGGTTTAAAGGACATCATTAATGAACATAACTGCGCCTCATAGCAATTTGATAAAGATGAAAAAGGCATTTATGAATTCCACTTCACTTTCAACTGCTGCTAGGGTGTTTCACCACTTGAAAACACACTGCATTGAATCTTGAGCCTTTGTGTTAGCTGCAGACTAGTACAGTGTGACTCTGTAGGGAACATATAACTACAGTCAGTCCAATTCGCCCCTCCCATTACCCTGTAAAACTCCAGTCGTCTCGTTGAGGTTACCTCCATGGAAGAGAGAGCAGAGTTGGCCCAGTTTCCCCAACTGGTACCTTTAATGCACCAAAATCAGATAAAGAAGGGATGTGGGGCGGAGGTGGGGAGGGAATAAAACAGAGATAATGAATATATCTTAATACTGATGGAAACTTGAAAGGAAAATAATTTGCCTATTGCAGACAACCGATCCTTGTTAATGGACTGCTCTCCATTACATTATCATTACAATGACTAAAGCACTTCTTTGTGTGTAAATTAATGGTGGAATTGTATTTCAGCACCGAACAGCATATGACTAGCTGCACTACGACAGGACCCTCGGCCTATCTAAAGGCTGGTGTCTCCTCCAGACATGGGTCTATAAATGTTTGTGGCGCACGAGAATGGGAAGTGTTACGAGTTACGACGTGGCCGTGCCATCAAACTGTCAGAGCATCAGACAAGGTCAGCTGCAAGGCAGAGGGATCCTGGAGCACAGAGGCTGGTTTCAGCAGGGACCAGTCAGTCAATGGTAGGGTTGGGAATGGCCATGGAGACAGGTACGAAATGCCCATCCGTGCGCACAATAAGCACTTTTACCTACACAAAGTGTTCTCAGCCTGGGTTGGGGTTTCAGTTGAGGGCATGCGACATCTACACTTTACAGCCGTTTGGCAAAGAAGGGGTGGGGAGGGCAGCATGGAGTAGTGGACTGAGGGCCGGGCATTGGGAGGCCACGGCTCTATTCCTGCCTCTGCTCTGTGACTTTGCACCACTTCCTTCTCCCTTCTTTGTCTCTCTTTTCCCTCCAGCTCTTTGCCTAGTTTGGTCATGAGCTCTCTTCGGGGCATGTCCGTCTCTCACCATGGGGTTGTGCAGAGCCTAGCTCCTCTTCAGTGCTGCTGCAATAGAAATAAGAGTCACAACCAGTGTGCCATCTAGAGCTCCGTTATCTCCAACCCCTCCTGCCGCTGAATTGCAGATCTCCGTTAGCAAATGGTGATGGAATTCGAAATATAAACAGAATATTGTCTGGGACCTCATCTCACATGGGTGTAAGCCAGGAGAAACTCCAGGGAAGTTCAGCTGCTGTTAAATGGGCATTAGTCATAAAAGAACTGGGACTTATATATAAAATACACAAATGCTAGTTACACTAACCCTTATAGTTCTAGATAGAAAAATATTGTGGTATTTTAGCTGTCTGCTCCTTGAGCCAGACTTCTCCCTAGTGGTGACTGTATTACATTATAATCATTCATTTTTTCTTGACTAATTTCCTCGTGGAGAGGGCTATAAATAATCATTATTGGTATTGCAAGGAAGCTGCAAGTTTCTGAACAAACGTGACTGAATTCTCAATGTGTCCAGGGTTGATACAATGCCTCTGTTTTCCCTTTTTTTGGTATTTTATATGCACAAAATTTCCAGAAGGCTGCTTCCCCCTACCTCCGTGAGAGAATCAGATCCACTTGGGCTGCTGCCGCACGCGCAGCGTCTGGCTCCCGGCTGGTGTAGCAGGGGTGGGTGTTTCGGTTCACAGTTCAGCAGCGTGAGACCTGAGCCCGGCAGTTCTTCGAGGACAATCCCGAGTCCGTTGCATGTCCCAGAGGGCACCTCTTACCACTGGTGGAAAACTCTCAGCAATGAAAATACTGTTTTATCCTTCTCAAAGTGCCCCTTGCCAAAGTCAGCCAAGACTCCAGAAGCACTTACCCTGCTATAACTACTGCATCATTAATATTCAGCGAACATGCTCAGAATTCGAGACAGACCCAGGCTCCCCTTAAGTTTTCGATTTCTGATGTGGCCAGTGATTGCTGCCTCTGTTTCTTAGGCACAGTCCTGCTCCTGCTAAAGCCCATGGAGTCCTGCTCCTGCGGAAGCCCATGGGCTTGATCTGCTCTAGTTACACCAGCATAAATCAGGGAGCACCTCCACGGAGAGCAAAATCTAATATTGGTGCAAGCGAGAGATGAACCAGACCTTGTGACCAAAGCCCCTTTACTCCACTTTGGTGGCAGCAGACAGAATTGGGCCCATGAGTTTGGAGATCACTGCCTCCGTGCTTAAGGCTGTTTTCTGTGCATTCAAGACCCTGGATTTTCTGCTCGTTCTGTATCTTGATGCAGGTCTCTGTCAGCCTCTCCCCATAAAGCTGGCTCATCTTATTAGAGCAGGCTGCCTCCTCAGTGTGCTGGTAGTTATGAATCCCCTTCTTAGCCTGATATTAATGAAGCCCTGGGATTTTTCAAAGAGTGACCTGGAATGTAATGGGCTATGGGCATCTAAAATCACAGTTAAAACAACTCAGCAGGACAATGGAAAATTAGGTCTGGGGTTCTGCTAAATTAGTGCTTCTCAAATTTGTTAAAGACTCGAGGCCCTCCTTGTAAAACACCACCTCTTCGTTTTCACTGTTTTTGCAGAAAAATAATTGAGCAAGTCTTCTGGTGCAAAGACCTCAGAAAGACCACGGCAGGGCAGAACATTTTTGACACCGTGGAGTCCCATTTGAAATCTGGGGTTTATCTTGTGCATCCCATGTGGCGGTTTGCACACCGAAGCGTGCAAATTCTGCCCGGCACTGTGTGTCACCCTTAACAGGAGCCCACAGCACCCTGCTTGAGACTCACCGTTTCAAATAAAAGGCCAGTGTAAATGAGAGAGGCTTTTGTTATTCAGTGCACAAACAAGCCAGGCTGCCTTCAGCCTGATTTTAGTCTTATTTCTGCTGGTGATAACCAGGGGTGCCCCACAGTCGTCAGCATTGTTTCCCTTTTCCACTAGGTAGGAAGAGCAGAACTGTGCCCGGGAGCAACCAGGTTTTGCCAGTGTTGCGTCTTTTATTGGGTCTTTTCCATTGCCTTTCCCTGGGAGGGAGGATTCCAGCCACAATTTTCAGCTGCACACTGTCCCTTTAATGCAGAGTTGTGTTACTCTTTCAATGCCAAAAATAAATGTGAGTGAAGGAATAAACAGGCCTGAAAAGAAGGTCCGGACACCTGGGAGACAAGGCTGCCTTGTGCTTCCTGCAGCAATGGGACTGTTCAAGAAGAGATTGCTGTTAGGGAGGGGGAAAAAAAAGCCCACTCCTGTAGTGCTGCCAAGGTCAGGAGATGCTCAGCAAAGCTCTGGTCACTCACAGCAGAGATGCCTGAGGGCAGATTTCACTTATACACCCAATTATTCCAAGATTTCAAAGTATTTTAGAGGAGAGAAGAAGTGAAACGCGCCCTTCTTATCCCAGCTCATCTTCTGCCATTTTCAGACACCACTTCACTTATGGCAGCCGTACCCGCTACAAATGATAGTTGGTCTATTTGCAGTGTTTATTCAGTCCCCTCATCAGAGCAGCCTTTTAGTCTTTTATGATAAATCTAGCCTCATCCAGCTCGGGAAGGTAGGATAGTACATCAGCCCATTTGAAAGAAGGGGTGCACAGAAGCACATGGAGCACAAGTAACTTGCCTGATATTTCAGTGGCAGAGGAGGGATGCAGGTTTTGTGGTTGACTCAGCAGCCTAGAGCTTGAGCTTGTGGGGTTCAAGTTCCTATTGCCTCCACAGACCCCCTGGATACACAAGGCTCAGCCTTGTAAAAGATATTTAGGAGCCTAGTAGGATTCGCAACAGCATCTTGCTCCCATTTATTTCACGGGACGACCAGCAGCACCTTTACACACCCAAGTACTTCATCTGCCCTTGAACAACTTGCCCAAGGCTGCTCGGGTGGCTTGCGTCTGAGCTGGCAGCTGAGAACTCGTGTATCGAGTCCCGGTTTCGTGAGTAAACTGCAGAATTTTTGAAAACCCAGCGTGGTGCCTAACTGCACATTTATACACTTAACACCTGCAAAAACCTAGCCCTGTTAGTCTTACAGTTGCCTGCAAAGTGACAGAAAAAGCCCTTCTCAACCTCACGAATGGCAGCAAGGCGCTGAATCACCCTGATCGAAGGAAAAATAAGATGTGCAGTGAGGTGTAGTATCTTTGTTGGGCCAGCTTGGAGAGTGGAGAGAGGTGTTAGACAAACATTTAGGCGTCAAGCACCCTTCATCAGGTCTGGAAAAGTAGCAGTTGCAGTCCAGGGTAAGTACAGAAAATCATTTGAGCTTACTTTAATTATGACCACTTGAGAGAGAGAAGTGGGTCATTATCGCCCGCTGGGCAAAGAGAAGTTAGCAGAGGGAGAAGTGAGAAGGAAGTCTTATTTAGCCACAAAACCAAGTCCCTAGTTCCTGCTGTCCAGTAAAGCTATGGCTTTCTGCTCCCAGGCCTGCCTGCCTAAAGGGCTTGTGTCGGTTTTGTTTAAGGACGTCAACTGTGAAGTCGGAGATGGAGCGGTTGTTTTGTTAGCGTGGTCTCCCACTCGTGATATGGTGTTTTAGCCTCTATCATGTTTCTGTGGGAGCTCATCCTGGAGACTAGGGCTGATTTGATTTCCCCCATCTAGCTTCTGTGTGGGACGGTGGTGTGCTGGATGAGAGCTATCCCATGTTGTAATAGGCACGTGTGGGATTAGGCATTTGTTGGTAAGAGTTTGATCATGATGGTGAGTTTGGCAAGGTTGGGGGTAGGGGGGCAGGCAGGACTGGGTAAATGTCCTTGGAGATGTGATCTCCAGTGTGGGATGGTATGTGTTCACCAGGGATCTGTGGCTAGTTAGGGCAGGATAATGGCAGGGAGGATTAGTAATAATAACAACACGTGTTGATGCAGAAAGAGAGGCAATTTGGGTTCCTTTATCTTCTCTTTCTTACTGGCTTGTGCGTTAAACTTATTAGCCTCCAAAGGATCCCAATTAAGGAACAGAAATGTGTAATGAATGCTCCTGATGTGCTGAACCAGTCTTACGTATGTGTATAACCACATACTCAAATGCATTTGATTTCAAAATGGTCAACTTAGAGCAACTCAGAGACCTAGCAAGTGAAGTTAACTGGGCTGAAGAGCTCAAGGACTCAAACATGGGAAGAGGTCTGGAAATTCTTCTTAAGTCAAAGGTGCAGAAACTATCTGGAATTCATATCCCAAGCAGAGGGAGACAACCTTGTAGGGTAAAGCTCCAGACCTATTTGTATGAACAATGAACAAACTTCTCAGAACGGATGCTAAGGGTAAGCAGGGAGCCTGCAAGGAGCAGGAGAAAAGGAGTCATTGGAAAGCTGATCAGGGAAGTACTGGGCTAAAGCGAATATTGCCAAAAGTCATACTGAGTTAGACCTTGCTAAAGAAATTAAAACAAATAGCAAAAGGTTCTTCAGCCAGAGAAAGAAAAAGACCCCAAGGGAAAAAAAAAGTGGGGACAGCTAAAGCTTTGCTTGTGTTTTCAGTAAGGATGATAATGTTGAGCAGGGGCACAAAGGCAGGATGGCCAGTGAGTAGGGAAGTGGAAAATCCCACATCTGGGATGGAAACCAGAATCCAAGAGCTCAAAGCATTCGAGGCACGGCAACTGGATATTGCCCCTTCTTCCTCCCCCCGCCAGGCCTTGGAAGGAACTGGCACACAAAATCACAGGTCCTATAGCAAGGATTTTTGACAACTCCATCAGGTCATCATGGCACCAGACGCTTGGAAAATAGTAAAGGTAGTACCTGTATTTAAGAAGTTAGGGATGGGGGGAGGGTAATCTGGCCAGCTACAGCCCTGGTAGTCTGACCTAAATAATACGCAAGAGTTTAGAACAGATTTTGAAGGAAAGAATAATTAAACACCTGGAGGTAAATGTGTAAATGGGATAAGATGCAACGTGGGTTGTGCCAGACTAATGTGAGATCTCTCTTTGATTTTCTAGCCCAAGAGAATGCATTAGGTCTAAGTTTTCCAGACTCCAAGAAAGCATTTGATATGGTCCCACATGGGAAACTAGGAGGTCAGCAGAAGGTGGAGATTAGCACAGGAGCATCAGGTGGATCAGGGAAAAGCAAAACGAGAGATGACAGTCGGTCATGTTGAAAGGGGGATTCTCAAACTGGAGGGAGGTCACAGGCAGAGCTCCTCAAGGACCAGTTTCGGGACTGGTCTTATCTCATCTTTTCATTAGTGACACTCGCAGCATAATTAGACTAATGAAATTTGCTGTCAACAAGAAGGCAGAAGACTTTGTCAGTAAAGGTTCAGCATATCACCGAGCAAGAAGCAGATGATGCCGAGGACTGAAGCGATAGAAATAGAACGAAATTCAATAGTGCGGTACGCAAGGGCACGCACGCAGGGATTAATGACAAGAATTTCTGCTTCAACCTGGGAACTCATCAGTTGGAAATGAAAGAGGAGAAAAAAGGCTGGGGTGCATTTGTTGATTGGGACAGGCCTATGAACCACCAGCCCGATGTGGCTGTCAGAGGTGAATGTGGTCCCAGGAGATATCATTACACCCGTGCTCAAGAAAGATGAATTCAAACCAGAACAGGTGCAGAGCAGGACCAGGAGGGGAGCAGAGAGGATGAAGAGCTTGGCTTGCTTAGCCTTCCCCAGTGAAGGCTGGAAGAGGGAAAACTACTCCCTACATACATCAGGGAGGGAAACACCCCAGAGGGAAGATGTTTAAGCTCCATGACAATCCCTGCACCATGCTGGCTATAGACTGGCTAGGGACAAATTTAGGCTGGAGATTAGAAGGTGTCTAAATGTCAGGCCCAATGTGGGCAAGACGCTGTCTTTTAAAGATGCAACTTGAGCAGTTTCTGAAAGGGATCATAGGACGTGGGTGCCTGCAGTGGTGACCCAGGGGGCTCCCTCCAGCCTTTACTTCCCAGTATTCCCATAGACCCTCGTGGCTGGTTGGGTATCAGCCATGCCAGTCACTCTGGGTGAGGTTAAAATGCAGGATGGCAGGTGGCAACGTGCTGGGGTATTGCTCCTGGCAAATCAACATGTCTCTCACTCCGAGTCCTCCCACTATGAAGCTGCTCCCAGCTGGCCATTCACATGCTCCAACAGCATTTGGTTAGACGGCCCTTCTAAACCGGACTTCAAATGGGGTCTCATCTCTAGCTATTCAACGAACAGCTAAACTCTCCTTTCCCTTTCTTTGTGCCACTCTTCACCTCGTGCTCTTCTGAAGGCTGCAGACACTTCTAGCCCAATACTGGAAAGAAGCCATGCTCATCTGCTCTCAAGAGAGCCCCTTGTTTTGACAAGATCATCCAGGCCTCTGCTGCTTGGGGCGCCAGACAGCAGGAGATGCCATCGGACTAGTTCATCAGAGCTGGAGGGTGCAACACCCTGCTGTACCTCTCCCTGATACGCCTCCTAGTCTGCACCCCATCCTGCTCTTACCTGCTCTTTTGCCCCGGAGGGTAAGGGAAGACTCCCTTCTGGGAGAGAGGATCCCACCATAAACCCTCCGCAGGCACAAGTTGGTTACATGCATGGAGTCTCTTATAGCCTGTCGGCAAAGAGGATGAGAACGTGCCCCTGCTTCCTGTGGCAGGCATCGGGCCTTTATCTCAAGTGGGAGAGATCTGCGCTTGGGCTGCGACAGAACCGGCTCAGACAGTGGGAAGGGCTTTTCAATGAGCGTTATGTAACAGCACGGATCAACTTGACCGCCGCGACACAGCAGCTTGGGAAGGAAAGTGCTTACAGAAAATCAGTGCTGTGCAGATCTCTTGGGCTCTAGTCTCAGGCATTCGGGTGAGTACTAGGGGCCTTATGAGGACCTCCTGAAGAGCGCTGCCTACCCAGAGCGTCTTAGACTTTCAGGTGTTCAGAGCCCCTCTTCTGCTTGCGGGACGAGGCTCAATGGCTTGACTGTCCTGTCTAAAGGCCAGAAGCTATGAATGTGGGTCTGGGCTTCTAATGTTTGAAAATGGAAATAAAGAGAGCCCTGTATCGGGCCTTTCAGTTCAACAGCTAAAATAGGAACTGCTGGGAACTGGCAAACTCAGCTCCTTAATGATACAAGATCAGCTCAGCCTTGCAGTTGCCTTGCCTATAAATAGATAAATGAGATTCCTCCTATCCCAGTGAGTAATTCTGACATCCTCCCTTTGCCTTGCACCGAGCTGAGTCACAGGCACTCTGCACTCCAGTCGCTGCATTGCTTACATGGTCTCAAAGGAAACTTTAACACATCCAATGAATCATCAGGGATGGGATCATGTTTAAAGTTATTCCATTGGCATTTCCCTTCCATTGTAGCACGTCTGCCAACACCTAAAACTTCAGCTAATCTGGACTCAAAAATGCATGGAGGAAATAGCATGTTGACATATACAGCTACTAATAAAAATAATAAAAAAGTCCTTTTCAACCCCCCTTCCATAAACAAGTGACCCTTAGTGAATTCCTTTAGCACTTCAGACCTGCTAATTTTGTCAGACTGCTTCCTTGTTTTGTAGTTGCTTATTTAAAGAACGCAAAGTTAAAAATGCTGCAATATTCAGCTTTTCGCCCCATAATTTAATCAACTCCAGGGTGCGTGCCAAGATGCTATTTGCACAGAGGTGAAGTGACCAGCCCTTTGCACGCTGTGTCTCACAGAGGCGCGCACATTCCTCTCCCTACCGCGATAAAAATAAAACGCCTGCAAAGCAGAGACAAAACCGTAACAGTGTTAAGTACAGAAAACAGGGCATTAATAGACAGCCCGTGGCAGGTCACACTGCAGCAATCGCTGCTGATAGGAAGCACTGTCGGTCGTTACCTCACTTCTCCCGAATGTCAGAGCGCGGTCCGATGGGTCCACAGACAGCTCAGCGTTTGAAATCAAAAGTCCTTCTGTCTGCCAGAAAACATCTGGAAGAATGGAAAATTCTCCAGCAGAATTTGGGAGCTGTGAAACAAATAAAAACATTTCTCCGTCGGTTTTCTGGCTTGCGGTACCCTGGATTGTAATGATTTAGGACATTTCCCTCATTATTACCAGATCTGCAATTGCAGTGAGCTCAAACTGCTAAGTTTTGCTGTTTTCTTGTTGTGGGCTTAGCATTCCCGACACTGAAATGTGCTCCGCTGCGGAGCCATTTGAAATACATTTTACTCTTCCCTTAAAACGGTATTTCTCTAATGCTTCTCATACCAGCTGAGCCTAAAGCCTGAGCAGTATCGGTTTACGGTGGTAACAAATTCTTGAACAAAATATGGCCCCGTCTGAGATGAAACACGTCAGCTAGTTTTTCAGCTTAATTGCTTCTGTTTGCCAACACCATTGTAACAGCACAATGGCATGTGCACAGCCACAGCTTTTGCACTGTAATTAGAATAGGACGTAACTCTGGTACCTGATGACAAATGTGCACTTATTTTTTTTAATGGCAGCCTCTATTTCATAGTAGAAAGCTTCTGCCCTACTTCTGCAGCATGTCGCCCCCTAAGAAACCTCCAAACCCCCTTCCCGGTTGTACCCTTGTCTTTTTTGATTTTCTCATTACCGACGAAACACAAAACAAAGTGTTTTTTACGGTTTGCTCAGCGCCTGTCATGGACATCTTTAATGGTCACATCAGTGGTGTCAGCAGAGTGCCAGGAACAGGCTCTCCTTGTTAATTTGTGCTACTCTGCTTCTCGGGCAGCTTTCCTTCCTGCAGCAGAGAAAGACATTTGGTCAGGCAGCAAAAACTTGCAGGAACACAGTAGTGGCTTGACAGCAAATTGGTGACTCTGAAACCTTCGGCTTGGTAGAGCCGGGAGGGTAGCGGGGAGCGTTTTCGCAAGCGGGTTTGCAGCCCCCCCCGTCCTCCCTCTGCAAGTTTTGTTTTTGGCCAAACTTCCCCGCCGAGCTCGATTGCTGGCACTTCTGCAGCACCCTGCAGCCATTTCTTACTAGGCTCTGTAGAAACCCGGATCACGTGCGCGGGAGAGCTCCCATGTGTTAGGCAAGCCTTGCCATCTCCATTTCATCTCCGTCTTCAGATTTTATATAGCTGGGAAGCCAAAGTTCAGAGGGGTGAAGTGATTTACCAGCTGTCCCCCAGTGACTCGGGGGGCAGAGCTTAGACTAGGACCTGGATCTCCTGAGGCTTAGGCTCCTGTTGCAGCCTCTCAAGTATTATCCTTGGTGTAGCGCTGAGTCCCCCCAGGAACACAAGGCTGCGTCCTGGCTGAGACCCTCCCTCCAGTTCAGATGCTGCTCCCTAAGCATGTGGGAGAAGCAAGACGGCCTCTGAGCCCCCCCTCCGAGTCCGAGTGCAGCCCCTGGAATAATTAGAGGGGCCTGAGCAGCTCCTGAAAGGGCCTGATGGGCCACTTGACTAGTTCATCAGAGCTGGAGGGTGCAACACCCTGCTGTACCTCTCCCTGATATACCTCCTAGTGCTGGGGATGGCAAGGGCCATGGGACCACTCTGCCAGTCCAAAGGTGCCCAAACCCCCGGGTTAGTTCCCCCTGTCTGGTTAAACCACCTCCCAGGTACTTTTATATTATACCGGCCACTGGGAAGGGACCAAGCAGAGCCAAGGTCCAGGCCTCTATGTCCAACCCACTTGTCTTCATCTCTAATGTTAGCCATGGGCAGGCCAAACGTTCCTCCTAAGCACACCCACACACCAGGATCTGCTTATACATAATTGGGGGCGGGGGGTGGGGGTAGGGTTTAGGAAGCTGCATAGACAAACTGGAGAGGAGCAAATGCAGAATAGCAGAGACATGGGGAAGGATGCGTTTACATGGAGCCATTCCAGTTCAGGATTCAGAGCACCATCCTCATCCTCTGCTGCTGGTGTCCTGCCCCACGACGTCAAAGGACGCTAGTGTACGGTGTGCAGCAACAGCGGCCTTTGCCTTGCATTTGCCGCGCTGCCGGACCGTGCTCTCTTAATTAATCCCAGCATGCATGGGAAATGTTCTGATAACTGCGCAATAAAACGGAAATCAAAATGGGATACCAGTACCTCGGCGCATGCTGACAGGCTCCCCGCACGCCAACGTGCTGGATGCTTTTTGGCCCTCAGCCTGTAGGCATGAGTGCATTTCAGTATTTGTGTCACCATAGCCAGTTACAATATGTACCGCTATTTATCTTGGCAGCAAAGATGGTGTCATGCTTGCAACACAAAGCTGCTGCTCCGTGACAAACGGGAAGCAAACCTGGAATCCAGTTTGTGCACTTGCAAGTACTTACGGGTTGTTATTGAGAAATGGGAACTTTCAGTTGTTTCAGTTTCGTCCAAGGGAAACCATGGGGGTGGGAGTCGCGTGCCCCGTACTGTAAAAATTGCTGCGTGTGTCTTTCGGCAGTGATTAACAGAGAAGGGCACCAAGGACCAGGAGCAGTTCATGACATGCTCAGTGCCTCGTGAGCGCTGGTCCTCCCTGAAGAAGTGGTCAAATAGATTTTGGTTCATCCAAGACGTTTGCCAAAGAAATTACATTTGCCAGAGCTGGGAGATGTGGTGGGCTGGTTTTTTTGTTGAAGGGCGAACATGTCACGAGCCCTGGTGCTGCTCAAATTGCTTGCTGTTATTCCAGTGATGCATGGAAACTATAAGTAGCGTGGACTGCGTTCCCCGGCCCAGCAAAACCAATGTAGCTCTTAACCCAGGGTAACTGAGGCACTGCACCAGTCAAGGCCCACAGGACTCAAGCCAGTGAATGCATCCACAGCAGATCTGAATTGAAAGCTTGGCTGGGTAACTCAATCCGGTATCACTATTGTTTCAGAGAGTTTCTGCCCCTTTCATGGCCAAGGCGGCAAGGGCCAGGCAGCCCCGTTCTAAGAAAGGCTGTTTGGGCTTCATCCAGCATGGTCAGAGCCAGCATGAAAGGGGCTAATTGCCTGGTCAGCACCGTCTGCTTGTTGGGACAGAGCAGGGAGGAAGCTACACAAAGTGTTTGTGGCTGGGGGCGCCCGGGTAGGAAGACTGGGGACGTGCTGCTGGGGAAGTGTATGGCTGGCAGCCCCTGGGTCAGAGTTGCTGGATTTACATTGCCCTGTTTCACTGGGCAGAGCAAGGCACGGGGGCATGGTGAATACCTGCTTCCACTCTTTGTTCATACCCCCCGCCTTGGCAGCCTGCGGCCATAGGACAGCATCATGGGCCGCAAGGAAGCTGCACCAGGGAGGAGACTCAGGGTCAGTATGCTAAAGGCTTGATCCTGCCAAGCACCATGTGCCCCATTGCCCAGGGAGGGTCTTCTGGAGCAGAAGGCTGCTGTGGTCAGATAGTCCCAGTCCTGTTCATGCCCAGTGATGCGGGTGGGCAGCTGGGGCATTTCCAAAAGCACTTAGGCGACTAATGCTCCTGGACAGGAGTTAAGTGCTCTTGGGCTTCTGAAACTCCTCCTAATAATGCCTACTTCTTCAGTGGCATCTTTTATCCTTTCATAAAGGACCTCAACAACATTATCTTCATTTTACAGATGGGGGAAACTGCTGTATGCAGAGGCAAAATTGATATGCAGCGCTGTTACGTGTGGGCCAAACCTTAGTGCAGGTCCTTTGGCTGCTCAGCGCTGTGGTTCAGTGTTCCCTTTCCTGGAGGAAAGGGAGCGCAAATAATTCTTGCCTAATTACAAGGATTAACCCTTTAACGTTTGCACTGCTCCTTGGGATCCTGGCAGGCAGGCAGAATCCTTCCTTGAAGCATGTAATGCTGCCTGCAAAAAATTAACTGAGTGCATTGGACTTGTTTTGTAGACAATACAATGGAGAAATCCCCTTAATTTTCACTTTAAAAAACCACAAAACTGAGCTGAAGGAACAGATTAAGAGAAATAACATTTCTTTTTTTTTCTTCCAGAGATGCGGGTTGGCTGTTGATCCCTGCGCTGCTGAACGCCTCAGCTTTCTTGGATTCTCTTGCTACTGCAGTACAGAAAAGATAGTCAAGGAGGTGGCACAAGCAGGTGCAATCCACTGATCTCCTCTCCACTGCAGGCCAATAACAGCATCAGCACCTGCCTCTGCAACCAGCAATGCTGGAGACCTGCATCCCCCTCCGTGCAGTCTTCGTATGGCGATGTCCTGCCGTCAGAGGGACCGTCCTTGTGTGCGCAGGGGAGTCCGGGCAAGGAGGAGGGGTTGGGCAGGTTTGAAAAACGGGCAGTCTCATTGCGAGGGCCGTCTGCAGCCTCCATAGCTCACATGCCGAGGGACACAATGACAAACATTCAGAGGCCAATTTATGGCCACAATCTTGGCTGTGATTCACTGCCGTGGGTTGCACTGCATACCCTGCAATGCCATCTCCCGTCTTTTATTTTGAATATTCAGGACACATGGCATAGTTTGCTTTTGGTAAAAGCAGCTATCAGCCTCTGTGACAGCGACCTCACCTGGAATTTATTTCGGTCTACTCTTCAGATGGGAAAACGTGGGCAGCAGCAATGGAAGCAGCATGGGATTTCTTTGAGGAAAGCAACATTAACCACAGTTTTTCCAACAGGGACTTGGGGTTGCCAACTTAGAGAAGCAGGACCTCATTTTTGAGAAAGTGCTGAGGCTGAGCCATTTGAAAACCAGGTCAAATAGGGCATCCCAAAATAGAAGCACCCCCCAGAATCACTCGTTGTGCTCGAAGCTCCAGGCCTAACCGTCCGTCTGTACAAAAATGGCTGCTTTTTTTCCCCCAACTATTGGTGGCAAACTCTTGTGATAACCCAAACCTTGCCACTCTGTATTTGAATGCTGTCTGCTCTGCTCCAATGGGCTAGACGGTTACTTGCATGACTGGGACTTCTTTCTGGGGTCAAACTGAAGATGTGTCTAAACTGCTAATAAAGTTAAGTTCTCCTTAATAGCCATATTTCCTCCATCAAGCAACTGTTTACCAAGAGGTCCTGCAGCCAGCCAAAGACTGCCATTGAAAGGACCCGAAGCTCTGGCTGCAAAATGTGGGCATTTCCTGCCCCCGGCATCATTCAGATCACGCGGCTCGTGTACAAGGCTCGTTTACTTGGACGCACCCATGCATTCCCATGCATGCTGGACGCACATTCAAATACTAGGAGAGGAATCGGGGTACTGACAGCAGCTGGGACCATCACAGAGCAGGCTGGAAAGCGCCCCGCCAGCATGGAGATGGCACCAGCGCGCTCGAAGCGCATGCTGAGGGGGGCTTGGGCTGGAAATGCGTTCTTGCTGCTCTTTCAGTAGGCATCTCCCCATGCAAGCTTTGTTCCCGTGGGCAGGCTAGTCTAGTTGTGGCCTGTTTGCTCCTGGCTCATGCAATGATTGGCACTAGCTGAGTGCTTTCCAAGTGTGCTCAAAGACACATGAGTACTACCCCGGGCTTGTTTGCTCTCATGCGGTCCCTAAGGGGAGAAGAGTGTTTGGGGGTTTTGTTCTACGTGAAAGCTGCTGTTTATAATGGAGAAACAAGGGGCCATCTTTTGCCCTGCCGCTTGGAGCAGGTGAGGTGGGGGGTGAAGCCCTGCAGTCAGACTCACCCCGAGAGCACGCCACGTCCAGCCCAGCCCCACTTACCAACATTTTCAAATGGGAGCAGCCACTGGATTTGGCATGAAACCTTCTAAAAAGGCTTGATTTTTTTCAGGAAGGGCCAGCATGCCTCAGGACGAGGTGCTTTAAGTAGGGCACTGAACAAAGGAGCTTTCCCAGAGCGCAGATTACTTAATTACTTAGGCCAGGATCCTCGAAAAGGGCTCCAGAGTCCTTTCCACACAAGGTGGCCAAGCAGGGAGCCCAGCCCTGCTAACTGCTGCCAGCTCATCACTCAGGCAGGTTTGCCATGAATCCAGATTGCCTTCCCTTGCCACGGAGCAAGGGCTTGCAGAGACAGGCAGGGGAGCCATGTGACTTATGCTGCTGGCATGACTGTCTGAGTGAGGAGGGCCAGGGTAGTCTTTAGTCTGCCCTGGCTGCGTTCCCCACCTATGCCAAGAGACTCGCTCGGTCTGTAATTGCTTGCACAGGGCACAGACACCTGACTAAGTGCCCTTTCCTACAGCAGACAACGGCGTGACAAGAGCCAGGGGCTGCAATGTTGAAGTCGGCCGGAAGATAAAAGGCCTAAGATGCAAATATTTAACTGTGAGCAAACTCCCACAGCGCTGCGATTGCTACAGGCTGTTACTGAGAACAGGTGGGCTCCATCATCGCCGCCAGAAGGGAGGACATCTGTGCAAGCTCAGTGATGCACTGGTGGAGCACTTGCTTGTATTAGGATGGAGAAGTGTGAGAAATACTGATGCATGTTGCTTACAGGGGGGAGGGAGCAGATCCTCAACAACCTCAGTTGCATGAGAGCTGGAGCCTGAGTCTTATTCACACTCAGACGGCTTCCAACACTTTGGGGACAGGGTGTCGTCTTGTAGGTGCTTCCAGCTGCGCGTTGCGGATCACGGTTTGCTACACAGCACTTTTTTTTTTTGTCTGACATCCCAGCGGGTTGCATCATCGAGTGCTGCATGTTCCCGACACACCTGCCCGAGCGCGCAGAGCGTCCTGATCCAGCAGGGTTTTGCAGCCCTGGAGGGATGCGCGGCACACACCCTGCTCTGCTCTCCAGTCGATTCCCACCCCTCCGCAGCCAGGAGCAAATGCGTCTATGAGAAGCAGCGCAAGGAAGGGTGCTCTGCGGCAGACTTCTGCCAGGGCTGTCTACTCATTTGTGGAGGACAGGGCTTCTCAACAGACACAGCAGAGGCTGTGGTGGGGGATCACAGATCTCATGCACCCTCACAAGGGCGTACAAGGCTGGCATGCTGTGACATCAGTGCACGCTAACATGTGCCCTGGGACTATTAAAGCAAGCCCCATACCTTTATGCCCAGACAGAAGTGAAGCTGGGCTGTGAGCTCAAGCAAGGTCTTGAACCTGGGATCCCTGTACCAAGACGGAGGCCAGCCGTTCGCCGATACTTTCTGTGCCCAGGGGTTTGTCTCCTCCTGTTCACGGGTCTCAGGACACCAAAGTGGTTTGAAATGGGCCTGTCCCAGGCTGGGGAGGCCATCCATGAGCCGGCTCCCTCCTCCAGTTCATCTGTCATCCAAAGATTATCTCATGTAAAATGCACATGGCAGGAAAGCCCCTGGAGCCCCCAGCTCTGTCCCTTCTCCCTAGCAGGCTGTCCTGGCTCCAGAGCTCGCTCCCACTTGGCCACACTTTCTTTGGCCCCAGGACTCTGGGAGCTGGGCTGCTGCAGCCAGGAATGCGAGGGCCAGAGGGGAGCAGACAGCACAGGACCCTGCTGCTGTGGGCCTGCTGCGGGATGGGGTGGCCACCCGTGCTAGGCCCTCTGCTCAGGGTTACAGCGTGGTTTTTATCCAGTGGATGTGCAAGTTTCCATTACATGTCACAGCCTCAGCCCCCAGGTCTAAGACACCCTCCTATGCCCTGACCAAGGGGCTGCTAACCCACTCTCACTTGCTTGTGCACTTTCTGTTCCCGACCTTCTGCCCACGTAGCCCTCAGTCCTACCCCACAGGGCCAGAGCAGCCCACTGCAGTCCAGTACGGCTAGTCCAGTCTGCCCTAATCCATCCTTTCCCTATGGCCATCACGGAGGTGGTTTTTCTGCATCTCAGTCCCCACCCCGATCCCTGCCCCGGCCCCCAGCCTGGGGGCCAAACCGCTCCCACGCCTGCTCCTTCGACCCAGGGGTTGGTTAGGGTGCTCCCTGGGACAGAGGAGGGCATGCAGGCTGAGCGAGTGCTTTGACCACTAGCCCTTGTGAGCCCAAAGGGGCTGGAGCCTGTGGGAAGGGGCTGATGTAGGTCCTTAAATGCAGGGGAGAGTATAGGGCTATGACTCCTCTTTAGCAGTAAGCTCCTCACTCAGCGTCAGGTACCCGAGACTGAGAGAAGGGCATGCAGCCCTTTGGGTGGGGGTGTTTTAAGCCAGGCAGGGGTACTTCTTTCCTGCTGTCCCATTACTCTTGTGACTCAGAGAATCGTGCTCGATGATGCAAGTATAAAATGAAGTGAATGTAAAAAAAATAAAATAAAATAAATTTTAAAAATCAAACATCCCCAACCAACCTCTTTCCTACATGCGAGTAGCTGGCATCTGCCTTTCCTGCTTTAATATACCAACTAATGGATCGCACCATTCGGATCAATACTCTCTGCAATTTGGCTTTCCAATTAAAAGTCAAGCAAGAAACAACAGCTAAGACAGAGCCATGCCGGACAAATTTTGAAAGACTGCATTCTCCGCTTGCAGCAGATACAGGCAAGGTTAATAGACTCCAGAGTACGATAGATACATTTAGAAACAAGGACAAAAGCTTATTTTCTCACACAGAAATCTCCAACTGTGTTTTTTGGGTATGCTCCAGGTTTTGGCTGCTTGGCAAGGAGCTTGACGTTCCCTACAAAAGATCCAAGGCATTTATGTCCAAGGATGTCTCTTCGCTAGGCTGTCCATCTCCTGATGCTTTCCCCAGAATAAGGCACTGCTGTGCAGGACATCTTTGATGTTTCGGATATAACGGTACAACCTCCCGCCCTTCCAACAAACTCAGGTTTTGCTTTTGAAAGTCTTTTGTCAAGTGGCTGGATGGCAGGTTTCAAACCGTAATAGAAAAAATGATTTTCTGGATTAGTTAAATTTTATTTTGACTTTGGAATCAAATATTCCTTTTTTTGGTTCGCACTCTGTGGTGCTTTTCTGGCGAGCTTCGATTTCCAGCTCCTCAGCCAGTTCCTTAGCTTCCAGCGGGAATCATGTGAATCCCTTATTGGAAGAAGTTTGCAAAGCAATTCTCCAAGGCTCTTACTGGATGTGTTGCTGTCCAACGGCCATTTCAACTTTTTGAAGCATTTTACTTGCCCCGGTGACTTCAATTAAAATATATCTCATGCCAAAGTACCATGCTCCCGGGAACTGAGAGCTGCAAATGTTCAGACCCAGCACTTTGTATTACTTGCAGTTTGCTCCCCTATATATACATGAATCCTTGACAATTGAAACAAAAAGCACAGCCAATTTTGGAAATGCGGTACTGAAATAGGCAGGCTGGAACAATTTGGCTTTCCCGTCTCATTTCCTTTCAGACTTTTGGGAGCTCATGTGCTGATGCATTATGTCCCAGCGCTGTGATGAGGAAACACTTGAAACCCGTGGTATTTCTCAGCGTGGTTCGGCAACACGAATCATGGCATTACTGAGTCTGAGCTTCAAATGACGTGCCCTGCCTTGGGCAAATCACACCGCTTGTTAAGGTCCTTGAGTCTCTTCTCAACTGCTCCGTACTTACCTTCACACTTGTCCCACTGTCCTCGGCTTGGCCTCTCACATCAACGAAATGCCATTTTACCTGTTGTAGGGCAGGTCCCATCTGTCTAGCACCATTTGGATATTGTATTCCCAAATCCAGCAACACGTCCCTTGACTGCTGCCTTCTCAAGCATCGCTCGCTGCTTCTCTACAACCGGTATCAGACTTTCGTCACTGGTTTGTGGTTTGCCGGTGTCTAGCCGCAGTCACCTGTAACATCCCATGGATTTCAAGGGAGCGATTTACTTCTGGATCATGTTCCCAAGAACTAAGATAACTTCATTTTTGAACATTTTTGCCCAACCATGAATTTTCCTAGAGAGAATTCATCTCAGCGGTTCTTCCATCACCGGGCTGCATCTCCACGGACTCTAAACATTTCCCACTGTGGCAACAATGGCGTTTGTGTGTTGAACTGTGCAGAGAAAAAGCCTTTTTTTCCATGCTGTGTAACCTGGTCAAATGAAAAAGCCTTTCCAAAGCAGCTCGCCAGTGCTGTAGCATAGATTTCATTTGGTACTAGCTTTTTTTTTTTTTTTAAATCAATTAAGCAATTGTGTTTCAGTCTAATTTCTAAGTCGTTTCACATTTCATTGCTGTCCACATGATCTGCCAGTCCCATGTTTTGCTGGGATACTCGATACGCTTTTCCAGTCCCAAACACCATTCTGGGATAAAGCAAAATCTCTGGAGCTGTTAACTTGCAACAGAAGCAAACAAAATCAGTGGAAGTGGCACGGAGAAACCCGTCTCACTTCACTTCACAGTCTCTACTTGAAATCTGTCACAAAGACTGAAAGCTGAAATTTTCTTTTATTCTTATTTAAGGGCAAATCCTTACAACGGGCTGGCCCGGCATTCACAAGCAGTCAGCAAACCTGTCACTGATCATGAGACGTGCGACAAGCTTGCAGGGCATCGGTCCTTCTGTAGGTTCTCCGTATTCCCTGAATAACTGCATGACGGCATCCAGTTTTTGGTGCGTAGACTTGGACGTCTCCACCAACGAAGCGGTCCCACTGGTGCTATTTTCTTCATGTCGCTCCCTTTCTAGCTGAAGAAAACCCTCCTTGCGAAGAAGTCTGTCTGCAGAAGCAGGATTACAGCTACTCCTCGCTTAATGTCGTAGTTACGTCCTTGAAAAATGCGACTTCAAGCGAAACGATGCTAAGCAAATCCAATTCCGTCACAGTAGTTACCTACTAGCAGGCGGTGGCCAAACAGCGGTGTAACCGAGCACTGAGCAACCTTAAATGAGTATGTTCTCCAATAGATCGGCGACATCATAACGAAACGACGTTAACCGGGACGACGTTAAGCGAAGAGTACCCGTACTAACATTTTGGGTGGAAGGAGGTTCATGACTAGAAGAGTCTGATCCATCCGTTAGAAGTAAAACGGCTGATTTCCGAAATCTCATCATCTTTAGACTATTTCGTCTCTTTGAGCTTCTCCTTAGCGATACTCAGCTCTGGGAGAGATGATTTTGTTCGCGGCAAAGCCTGTCGCTGTGGCTTTCACGTTCAATCCGGACGGCCGATTCACTGGCTTGCTGGAGACCACTACTGTCCAGTTACATATACACACACGTACATACACACACGCACACAAGCACTTGCAGGCACTTCTGCACAACCAAGTACAAACCGACTCCTCCAAAACACAAAGGGCTGCCTGTCATCTGCTCTCTTCTGACAGCAAGTCCCGTTTTGCCAATTTGAACAGAAAACGGCTATTGCTGACATCCAAAGGGTTTCATATTTGTCAAGTTACTCTCCCACACCCCATCTTTTGCGGCCCCTCGCATCTCTCTGGTGTAGGCAGCAGTCCACTTTTTCAACCCCGAAAGCCAGCCCAAAGCGAGGGTAATTAGGCATTGCAACAGACTGCAGCGGTCTTTACGCTGGCATCTTTCTAAAAGACACGATCTGGTCCCGGCACCAACTGCAGGGGTTGATGCAAGAATCACTGGTGCGCTCGGTGGCTTTTCTTAGGAAGACTCTTGGATGACGTGATCCGAGGGGTCTCTTTCAGGTTCAGATCCAGGAGCGGGATGCTTTTGTGCTGGAGGCTGGAGACCCTCATTCTGATCTGACTAGGAAAAGTAACAGAGAGAGAAAGAAGTACAAATGTGTACTTTGGGATTCAAAAAGCAAGTGATAAAAATGGCAACTTGAACAAAAAAAAAAAAAAAAAAAAGCATTTCTGACTACCGCAAGCCTTTCCTGTTTTCAGCACTAAAAATACTCTACTCTAGTAGCTTAATTCTCGGTGAGGTAATGCTCTCTGGCTTTATCTTTGTTTTGACCCCAGTATCTCACACGCTGAGTAATAACATCCACAGGTGTAGCCAAGGGAAACAGAGCCCCTTCCTCCTTGCTTCAGCATTACAAGCCAGGTCGGGCTGTTAAACGAAGCACTTGGGTTTTTGTCTTTGTTTGTCACAAAAGACTCGGCAGAGCCCGGGATTCCTCCGATTCAGTGTCTGCAAGAAATCAGAGGCGTCAAAACAGGAAGCACTGAGACCATCAGCTCGAGAGCAACAGCCCCCAAGGTCAGCCAGAGGAAGACCCATCTTGTAGCAAAGATGCTCAGCTAGGTCTCAAACTCTGGGTTCAAGTCTTAGCTCTGGTTTCCTGTATGGGGGGAGCAAAGTCTCGTGCCTCAGCTACCAGTCTGTGAAATGGGAATAGCTGTGCTTCCTTTCTCCTACCTTTTCACTACCTTCTCTTTTTACATGGCAAACCTTTTGGAGCACAGATTGCCTTTTTTTAAGACTTAGCTACACATGCAACTGCCTGGTCCAGCGAGCCTAGACGCACTGTGCTGCTGGGGCTCTCCTGAAATAATTGTCCTTGTGGACGCATCGGTCCTGGAAGGCACCGTGCTGTGCTTTCCGTCCACCTTACCACAGAACAACTTTTGCCGTGCAGACAAACCCTTGCTGTGCGGAGGTGAAGCGCCTTTCAGGGGCTCCAGCTTGCTTGAGTGGTTCAAGGGACTGCTGCAGCACGAATAATTTGGACAGAAGGAAAGGTCTAAGCTGAGCTGGTAAGAAAAGCTCACGCTAAAATGAGCTCCTATATTGACACTTAGGATTACCGGTGTGTTTGTCCTGAAGAAACGTGTAAGGGGCAATTCTGGACCAATAAATCTTGCTTCAGAACCAGGTCAACTGATCAAAGTAAATACAAAAACTCCTCATTGGACGTATGGTAGAGACAAGCCAACAGGGTGGATGCAGAGGGAAACTGGGCACCTGTAGTCTATTAGAAAAATCCTAGGAAAGTGAGTTGACAAGTGATTCAAGCTCTTGCCAAATCCTTCACAACAGGCTTTTAAAGAAACTAAATAGTCAGCGGGAGAAGCACTGCTACTATGATGGGCTAGAAAAGCATGAGGAGGTGTATGGAAAGGAAAACCAGAGATCATCTTATGAACCCGTGCAACACACTCCGTACAGTTCCTGATCTCAAAAAAGGAGAGGGTACATCGAGAGGTTGTGAGAAGGTCGATGGAAATGAGTTGAGCCCTGCATGGGTTTTAACATGGGGAGAGACACCTGGGACTGTCTGAAAGGGGACACGGTGGGCATAAAAAATAACGAACGGTACAGAAAAGGTAACCATTGACAATGCAAGAACAAAGGTGTAGCGAATGACACTGAAGGGCAACATGATTCAAAACCGAGAGGGGCTTTTTTTTTTTTTTTTTAATACCTTATATGTAATGAACTCGTGGGACTCCTGGCTGCAGGATGTCACCACGGCCAAGAGTTTAGCAGGACTCAGAGAAGCAGCAGGTAGTTATATGGGAAATAAGAGTGACCAGAGTCAAGTTAAGGCAAGACATACAACGGGATGTAAAGCACCCTGGGCTCGAGGCAAACTCGCTCCCAACTAGCTGGAGGTGGAAACGAACCCGTTGTAATTCCAGAATTGCCTGCGAGGAGGTTTTATGCCCCTTCCTCCCAATCCTTTGGCACTGGCTGACGGCGGAGACAGGATTCTGGATACGGCGGGCCCCCTGATCTGCAAGCCTGGTAGGACTACCAATATATTTTTAAATCCTTCTCCTGGGAACAAAATTAAGTATTCACTTGAGCTCTCCTGACTACAGAGAAGCATCACAACACCACAGTCAGCATGGCTGGCATCCCAACAAAAAAGCCCTGGGTAGGTTACTACACGTATCGCTCACTCGGACATCGTAGCCTTTATTCTCAAACCGGCTACCTTCACACCTGTGACCGGTGCACACTCCCATCAGAAGTGCCCTCCTCTGCTGCTGCTATCTTCATCTCAGGTGACTACCGACTGTCCGTGCAGTCTCCAGGCCGGACAGTCAAGAGGTTCGTAGCAGCAGGGCCCTGCAGGTCATTAGAGGGGATAAAAGAGGTTAGAGTTCAAGGACCAAAGCAAGGTAGCAGATGACACAATCTCTCCTTAGGGTTGGATCACGGGAGGGGCTCAGGTTAGCAATGCAAACGAGGCAGGAAGTATTCAGGGAACCCCATCTACACGGGGCCGGGACTTCACTGTCACCTCCTCTCCTCCAATCCCGGCCCCTTTATGCTTCGACCAAAACTCCCAGGGACTTCAGTGGTTCAGGGCGAGTCCTAAAACGCCCTGCTGAAGATCCTGGTGAATCAGGACTTGAATCTGGGTTGCCTTGCAAATCTGCATCTAGAGCTAATTTCCAATTAACAGTCATCCTCTTCCTCCACTTTTCCTATACAGGTTGCACCTTCAGCCCTTTCCTTTCAGCTTTGTTTGCAGCTGCTGCTCCTCGGGCCCTTTGCTTGGGAGAAAAGGCAGGGGACCGCGACACCTTCACAAAGGTGTTGATTGCTGGGTCCTCCCGGCTAAAGAGTTAAGTGAAGGTTTTAGAGATGAAGCCCCTGAGAAGAAAGCAATGGAAGGAGATCTGCACGTGTGCGAACACTCACTTGTATAAGATACCAGCAATATTATGTGCTACGAATAGTTTTTGTTTAATGCTAATGATCTAAAGCTACACTGTGGCATAGTCGCTTGAAATCCCATAAAGGCGTCTAAGCATGAGTGTCTGCAGGGCTGGGCTTTGAAATCTGCCAGCAAACTGGGTGTACAGGAATATTTTAATTAAGAAAAGCTGTAAACATTTACAAGCCAGGATCTCAGCAGGTATTAACCACTGTGCCTCTGCTGCCGGCAGCGCAGAAATGCAGGTTTGCACCACCTGAGGGTCCGGTCCCTCTGGTACCTGCACACATGCTTTGCCGTACGTCCTGCAAACAAGATTGCTGGTAGTTATAAAAAAAAAAAAAAGCTTGTGTGGGGATGCGTGTGTGGGGGTGGGGGGGTACGTGGGTGTGTGAGTACGTGGGGGTAGGTGTGAATACATTCTTACTCCTTTACACCGTCTGTTTGCTTTTGGCATTTCACTCCGGTGAATCAGCCGAGAGGATAAAATAGCTCAGTTTCAGTTTTGTTTCCTCCGTACACTATTAGCGTTGCTTGGGATCGGAGCATAAAGGAGACACTGTCCATCAGACACCTCATGACAGCTGCTCCTTTCCAGATTTGCTTTTGCAGGAGAAAGAAAAAAAAGAAGCCCCAGCCCCGGCCCTTTACAAACAAGTTACCGGTTTGCAAACATCCCTCCAAAACGACAAGCCCTCCGGTTGCACAGAGCTGGTACTTACCCCCCCGGGCTTCCTGGCACTGCAGGTTACAGTTGAACATTGCAAGAACAATAAGGATTTTTAGGGGCATTATGACTGGGTTAGTAAAACACAGCTGCCCCTGAAAGTCCCTCATTTTTCTTGCTGCCACTCAGTCCCCTGCAAAGAAAAGAGTTGAGGGCCGTACCGTGCTTTGCCATGTCACGGCGCGTCACGCTGACACGGGAAAGCTTCAGCAGGCTTCCCGGCACCAGCCCCAGACGCAGCCGCTTTGTCATCCTCGGCTTTTCCTCTCAAGCCAAATGCTGCAACGACGTGGTTGAGGATTATGGTGCAATAACTCGCAGGCGTTCATCACTAGGCAGAAACGCCACCCAGCCTTCCTTGCAGCTCCTAGACAACCATCAGTTACCCGACGAGGTGCAAAAAAAATCAAACAAGTGGGATCCTGCATTCATGCACAAGGGTCAGGGCAAATGGGGACCGCCGTACTGGTTGGAAGAAAGGGCTTAGGCTGCAGGCCGGTGCCGCACACGTTACCGCAGCATTTGTGCTATGACTGGAAGATAAACTGCTGTCTGCTAACAGACGGTCCTAACACTCGGGGTCAGCAGTGGGGAGTCGCGCAGGGCTTCCCTACGCCCTGTTACCTTTTGATTTAGTGGCAGAAGCAACTGGGTTGAGATGTTTTATCATAAGTTGGTTACTGAGCTTTGCAGGAGCTCCTGGCACGTGCCAGGCGCTGCACAAAATACAACGAAAACAGCAGATTGTTTCCCCAAAGAGCTTTCAGGCAAAGTGATTTTCACCTGAGCCGAGCGGGAGGGGTCCCAAAGGCCTAAAAATCCCAGCCTAGACCCATGTGTGAGATGGACACCTTGCTCTTCTCCCCATGCCCGTTGTCTTGAAAAAAATGTGCATGTGAGGGGGGAGACGGGGTGGACTTGGCAGGAGTCCTGAGCTGATTTCTAACCCCCCAAATGCCTCCTCTTGCTCCTCTGCATTAAATCTGTCCTCCAGCACCCCCGCCCACACGCATATCCCCCTCCAATCCTCCCTGCACAGAAGGCAGGTCCCAATAGCCCACTTTTTCACATGGGAAATAGGGGCTGAGGGAGTTGCCTAGGGTTGCACAGGGAGTCAGTGGCAGAGTAGAGGCCTCCAACTCCCACCTCCCAAATTCTGAGCTCGTGTCAGACCATCCTTCCTGCTG